TAAGGCGAAAAATATTTCAAGAAGCCCAACATCTTAATATCGGAAAAAATGGCATTCCGTGGAGAGGAAAATGGTCAATATGAAGCGGCCCTATTTTAAATTTTCAAAATATGTCGGGCCATGGCCCGACCTTAACATAGAGTTCGGCGCCACCTAACCTAACCTATTAAAGTATCAAGCAAAGGGTAATGAGGAGAGGATAAAATATGCCACTTAACGCGGAGTACCTGAGTACTAAGTATTTAGTAATAACCTTAGTTATAACGCTTATAACTTAATAATAGATGCAAAGGCATCTTTTTTCTGGTGTTCTGAAACATGGTGCCCTAAGTATAAAATGTGTTGGTGATACTGATTAAAGTAGTATTTTGTTCATATTTTCTCTGCATTTTTGAWAAAATTATCTTCAAATGCATTTTTATGGTATTTTTTGACAATTTTAGTGAATTATCTTAAAATTTAGAACATTTTCAMAATTTGTTCATGAAATTAACGAAAATTATTGCGATTTATAACAGACTGACCAACTGATGTCGACTCTCGACAGTAGGTACGAATAATAAATTATATAGCATGGCAAGTAATTATCATCGATAACAATTTTATAATAGCTTGGCCTTTCCGCTCAAATTATCGCATGTTATATACGTATTATTATTATTAATTTTAAAATACCATATACATGCATAAAAAAAAGCAGTTAAGTCGTGGATGTCGCTCTGCTGTACAGTAGGTTACTGTAATGGATGGAATTAAATTAATTATTATAATATAATAAATTATATTATATCATTGTATACGAAAAACGATTCTGAGCGGAAACGGTTTATCTGTCTAGGATATAATATTATAGATTATTAAAAATTTTCAAATCTTAGATTGAAAAAAAAAACAAATGAAGTCAAAGCAGCAATTGAATACAAGCCAGCAGGCAGAAGACCCAGAGGCAGAYCAAAGAAACGATGTATTGGATGGAGTGCAACAAGATCTAGAGAGGTTAGAAGTAACAGAGTGGGAGGAGAGGATACAGGATCGTGATTATTGAAGAGCAGTGACGGTGGCAGCCAAAACTCTTACAGAGTTGTGAAGGCACAGAAGAAGATGAAAGAAGAAGATTTAAAAAAAAATTTTTTATGAATTTCTAGCATAAAATAACTTACGAATTTTTGTGATTTTTACGTATGTTATCAAAATTYAAATTTTGAATGCTTATAAAAAAAAGTTATAACTATATATTTCTTTTATTTTTCAACT